AAATTTATCTGATATAAAAAAAAAAGGATAAAGCTTTGTATCGTCATTTTGATATTTAAAAAAAAAAGGATCTGATAATTTTAAGCATTTGAATTTTTTTATTTATATGCCTATTACGATTAAATTAAAAAGGATTATGAAATGTTTAAATTAAAATTTAACCCCTCCATAAGGGAAACAATTTAAACAGAAACGAATTCCTCAACTTCAATTTTTTTTCAGAGATTTTATGAAATTTGCAAAGATAGTTCAATAAAGTCAGTTATTATTGCAAAAAGTTGATCAACAATTCCCTTTTCCTAATAGTTCACCTTACTATTTGATAAATGACATACATATCTGCTTCCTTATCGTTATTAAAAACCGTATCATTTCCAGTTTCTCAAAAATATCAAAGAATTTAATATATTATAGCAATATGATTTTATATTTTTTTCATACACGATCCAACACACCACAAAAACTACCTTCAACCATACTGCAATGTAATCTTAAATTTAATAAAGTTGAACATTCTTAGTTTCTTCACTTCCTGTGGGCTATTCTTTTTCCCTAATGTACAGAGCTTTACTCCAAGGGGAAATAAAATACAAAAAAAAAAGGAGGATTTTATTTTTATTTAAGAAATGTCTGCTTATAAAATGATGATTGATGAATGTTTCTCTAAGAAAGAAATCATCAAAATATAATATGTATAAAAAAGCAAAACAGTATAATAAAGGGAAAGGAAACATGTTCAAAACCAATAATCAACATTCATCTATGAACCACAGGATTATAATTGAATGATGGTATTACAATAACTAGCATAAAAAATACTCAATACACTTATACTCATACCATAAAGTCCATAAAATATTTTCTTAACATATCCGAAGGATTTAAAAAGAAGTTCGTGGGAAATTCCTGAATTGCAATACAGGATATCTATATAAAAGTAATATAAAAAATATTTATTTATCGATTTGTTTTTCTTTTTTTAGAAAAATAAGTATAGAAGAAGGAGAAGGAAGACCATATAAATTTTACATTATACAGGACATTGAACAATTGCTTCGTATGTAATAACTTTTTTTTTCTATAATTGTTTCCAATTATACTATATATCGTTCCTCCATCTGCTTCAAGCTGTTATTATTAATAAGCACTTGAAGTTTTAATATATTAAAAAAAAAATATGAGATAATATTTTTTTCGAATAATTATCCCGGTCTGTTTGTGTTAATAGAAAATTTTAGAGAAATGGCGAATTTGGTTCAATTTTTAATATTTTTGTAATTTTTGATTTGCTTATTACGCGTCCATCAGGCGAATTCGTTAGCGCGATACGTGCAAAAATACCATAATCGAGTATGTCAATCTTTTTCCAATTCGATTGTCTTATTAAACTTCATTGCTATTATTTGATCTCTTTTGCCTGAAAATACTATAAAATGTAAAAATTGGGGTATTTTGAACATGTTCAATGCACATGCTCTCTGTAAACCTAATAAGGTTCGTTAGTCACTGTGAATAATTTAAAAATTTGATGTAGAATAATTTTAAGAAAAACGTGATTGTGATTGCCGAACTGAATTAAAAAAAAATAACTCAGTTTCTGCGAAAAACGTAGCAACCACAAAAAACTGGGTATTCTTATAAAAATTTTTTAGTGAGCTTATATTTTAAAGTTTCAAAATTAAAGACGAAATAAGAACTCAATCCCGAAAATCATTCGCTCAAATTCAACTGGAGCGCATACAAATATGGAAACAAATTTTTACAGATGAATTTAATTAAATATTTTTTTTAGAATTTTTTTTTACTTTATAATCACTTAACCCATTTGAATTTTATTTTAATTTTCTTTTCTATTTTTATTTTTTTGTATTCAACATTAGCCGGATGTTAAAATAAAAAATATTCTTTTTAGACTATGAATGAATAATTTCATAAGAAGCTAATAAAAAAAAATCATATGCCTATTTTAAAAGAATTTTAATCCTTATTTAAAAAAATATATAAAATTTTTTTTCCATATAGCTATACATTTAAAATATTTTATTTGATTCTATAAGGTGCGTTCTCTCTCTATAATTTCAACATTTTAATTTAGAAATTCATAAGTAATAGAAAATCTCATTAACTTTATGCTACTACTTGACTTGCAATATAGTTTCAATTTATAATAATTTTACTCTAATGAGATCTACTAACCCAGAAATGAAAAAACAAAAAATAAAGCAAAAACAATACAAAATGTTTAGAAAAGTATAAAATATAATTTTATATTTTTTTATCCTGTGCATTAGAATTTAAATAAGGAATAGAAATCTCTTTTTCTAAAAATAAAAATATTTACAAATCTTATGAGTGTTCGTGTATACAAGAATGCAGTAAAAATGCTACATTTTCTGTTATGTCAAGTAAAATATCGATTTTCTTCAGAAATATTGATTTCCCTTACGAAACAAAATCCCCAACTAATTGCTGGTAAGAAAATGTTGACCCATTTTTGCGTTCCCTCTTCGTAAACAATAGGTTCATTAGTAATTTTGTTTGGCAGCCTCCAGAATTCTTAATATGCTTAATGTAGGGAGTGATCAAAATACGAATGAATTCGAAATTAATTTTTTAAAACTTAAAACTTGAAGTGTTTCCTTTTTTCTTTCATAATTTTTTTTTGTAACGCAATAAATTCTGATTAAAAGTTTTTCATCAGGTAACCAAATACCAGTAAAAATTTCACATTTTCTATATACATAAGAATAACAATAAAATTAAAAAATTCGAGTAGAATGGGTACGATGGTGGTGGGTAATTGTGGTGGTGTTGTTGAAAAAAAAAAAGTTTAAAAAAATTAGAAAACATATTTTACCCATTTTAATTTTGATTATCCGGGAATAAAATTCTTTTTTCGTTTTTTTCCTAAATTCAGTTTCCTGATAAATTTTTGCGGGAATACAAATAAGAAAGAGTAAATTTGCTAACAATATACGTATACATAAATGTGCCTATTGCATATATCAATGTAACAGTGGTGTATGTAGTTGAAAAAAATGAATTACACGGGATTCACATTTTGAAATGGTTATAAATAAGGTTCATATAGGTTCACAAAGGTACATACTTATACATATAATTTCCATTTGTAAGCCATTTTAAGGTCGCTAAATGAGTAGAGTAAAATAATATGGATACTCGTTTAAAATCAAAGCATTTTAAAGCTCTAATGCAGAGCAACATTTTCCTATAATAAAGTTCTTGAACCAACATATTTTTAACCTCACAGTTACCGAATCTGACTCTGTTATTTTTCTTTATTCTACGTTATTAATTTTTGGAAATAAAATTTCCATACGAGCCATGAATTATCAACACAAATAAAAATTGCATTCAAAGGGAATTATTCTTTTTTATTATTATTAATTTTTACGTCATGACCTCAAATTTCTCCCCAACTCCATGATTGAAAGGAACAATACAAAAATATTAGAAAAGAAAAACCAGGAAATAAATTGAACAAAATTTGGAATGTGATATTTTTGGTATTCAACAAGACTTTAACAATCATTTTAACTTGTTCAGAATAAAAATTATTACTAAACAAGAATTCCACCCCATTGAACAGTTATTTTTCCAAAAACAAAAAAAAAAAAACTCCATATTTTTTTCTAAGTTAAGAATTAATTCTCTTGTTCATTTTTGGGGGTACTAGAAAGTGTTACTTTAAATGCTCTATAATGTATCCCCTTTTATCTAAATATCTACGCTTTACTGAACTCAATAAATAAAATTTTTATATTTACTTTGTTATTTTGCGTCGTCGTTATCCTTGAATAAATACGCAGTTATGGACTTTTTAAAGTAACGTTAAAGGATGTTTACAATTTTTATTAGACGCAATGTGTATGGAAAAAGAGGGTTGAAATTTTTTTGATAAAGGAATGTTCACTTTTACATTACAAGTTATTTCAAAACAAAAAAAAAAATAAATAAAAGGAAAAAGTCATAGTCTAAATGATATTTATGAGTTGTACTTTGCGAGAGTATATCTAATTTCTAACGGATATTGTTAACACAACATTATTCTAGTATATCGAGTAAGATGCTGTTTCATTAATACAAAATAAACCATTAAAACCGTTCAGGAAAATCAAATTGCTGCATCCAATACTACATTTAGTCTTAATTTTAAAACAAATCCTTGCCAAGTCATCTCTTACAAATACAGACTTTTAATCTCTATTATTATAGTTCTACGCAATTTCATGTAGGTCTTCCACAAAGTAATCATAACGTATTGTTTGTAATAAGTATGTCGGTAAAACCTATTATATTTTGGTCTACTATTATTTTGAATTGTAGCCTCAATCATTAATAAAATATTTAAGTAAGTTTTCTTTTGTCATCTGGAAAATCAAAAATAAAATTTCCAACTTTTTAAAATAAAGTAGGAAATACTTGAAATAGTGATGTTGAAATAAAAAATGGAATACATGAAAACGATTTCTATTTCAACAAAAAGCAACAATGAAGAGTATGAGTCCGTATCATTATTACTAATATCACTTTGACTTTATCGCAACCGGCCGTGCCAAACTGAATATGATTAACATACTATCATATTTATGAAAAATTGTCACAACCTTTTAAGGAATGCTTAAAGTAATTTTTGTCTTTGCTTCTTAAATAAATTATGGTGCATGTGCATGAATAAAAAGCACGAATCATCAAATGGGAAATATTAAAAAGTAAAAGAAATCGTGTACATGCATATAAGAAATTTAAAGCAGCCGTTTCAAATGAGAAAAATTCTTTCAGTATAAAAGTTAATAGTTTCTTAGTTAAAAGCTCAGTAAATCAAATGACTTAAAATTTTAAAAGCAGTTCTAATATAAATTTATAATTTAACGTTTAGTGTATTTTAATTCATGTAATAACACCAACAGCGTTATTAAAGTAAAGCTTAACCATATTTAGATAATAAAAGAAAATGAAACCATTTGGTTAAAACTTACCTGTCATCTATTGATAAAGGTGTTGGCGGTGGCATTGGAACTGCTATAAAGTCCGAATCAGCATTTACCCTTTCGCCTTCCTCTATATGAATTTGATCTAATCGTCGTTGAATATCATTATCCTCTGCTTGTTCATTACTACCATTATCATCTTCTTCATCTGCATCATCACCTTCATCTCTTTCATCATCGCTTTCATCTCCATCATCTCCTTCATCTACTAGTACCGGTGCTATTGTTGTTACAATAGTAGGAAGTGGAAGACCTACAATTTCATCATCCTCTTCACTTTCATGTTGCTGCTCTTCTTCGGTTTTTTCTAATTCGCGTTGTATTTCTGTTGTTTCTGATGGTTCTATTGGGGGTGATGTCGATTCTAAGTTTGCTTCCTCTTCCTCTTCTTCTTCTTCTTCTTCTATTTCTTCTTCTTCTTCTAGTTGCTCCTGTTGTATATCAATTTCTTCCGGGGGCGGTGGAGGTATCGTAAATTGACGATCACCTAAACCGTATCCTGTATATGCAAGGCTTTGATGAGACATTCCAGAATTATGATATGGATGATGATGATGTTGGAACATTAAAGACATTGGTGGGGATATTGAAAGTGGAGAAAGAACTGGGGACTGAGGTTCATGACGAGGTGGCAAGGGGTCCGGTAAAGGTGGCGGAATGGATAATGGAGGAGGAGGTGGTGGAGTTGGTGGTGGCGATGGTGATGATGTCATTGAATCTGATTCTCTACCTGAAGTACGATGAGTCGGAAGTGGAGTTGAATCAACAGAAGAAGGTGCTGGAAGAACACTTGATGGTGGCGTAGTGGCATCTGATGCACTTGTTGGAGGTAAAGGAGGTGGTGAAGATGGTGGTACGTCGACTGGTATAGTCATATCTATTGTAGTGTCATCTTCACTACCCTCATTACCATTTGCATTTGGTGGTGATGCTAATTCTATTGGTGGAGAATCTGGTGGCGAAGCTCTTTGCATTTCAAATGCTGATGCTGGTAAAGGTGGTGACAATGGCGGTAACACCGGTGATTCGGATATTTCATGTAAGCTTCGTGGTGGAGATGCCGATTGCAGTGGTGGTGGTGGTGAATATCCCATTTGACCTTGCGGTGGAGACTCAGTTGGCGGAGAACCACGTCGTATAGGTGGTGAGTTGATATCACGACCATTATGGGGCGAGTATGAATTATCCGTAGCTTGAGAATGATGTGATAATGGAATTGAATGTTGTGATTGTTGTGAATGATGTGAATGTTGAGACTGATGTGAAGGTGGTGAATGATGTGACGAATGTTGTGAGTGTTGGGAGTGTATTGATCCGACTGATCTTTGTGATGTAATTGATGGCCTTTTAGCTGACGGAGATTTTACTGATTGTCTATCAGCTGACCTTTGCGATGATATTGAACCTCGTTGTGATGGTGGTGATTGGGGTTGTGATCTTTGAGATGAAATTGAACCACGTTTAGATGGAGGTGATCTTGTATTTGATAATGATGGAGGTGATTCTCTTTGGGGGGGTGATGATATTTGTTGAGACTGGGGAGCCGCATATTGTAATGAACGTTGTGATGATATTGATCCACGTTGAGATGGTGGGGATTTTGAATGAATGGATTTTTGTGAAGCGATTGAACCGCGCTGAGATGGTGGTGATGCAGATTGTTGTGAATGGGGACTGCCACTTTGAATTGGTGATGAAATTTGTTTAGGTGATGAAATTGTTCCTTGCGATTGTTGAGATGTTATTGAGCTACGATGAATTGGGGGTGGTGAAGATAAATGTAGTGGGGGTGGTGGGGGTGATGATGACGATGTTGAAGATGGTATAGATGATATAGATGTTGGTTCAACAGGTGGCGGTGGAAGATCATCTGTTTCAGATGATTGCTTTTGATCTTTAGTTGTCTGTGGTCGTGCCGTTACTTCTTCGATATCAGAATCGACACCTTGAGCTAAATTTAAATAAAATGAATCACGGGAATCACTTGAACCGCGTCGTAATTTTAATGATAAATCTGGTGAACTATCCATATTGATATTAAATTTTTTATTTTATTTATATTTAAATTTTTTTAAAAGTATTTGTATATATAATTTTTTTAATTATTTTATTTTACGATATTAAAAGGTAATACACACAATTATTTTGTTTTCGTATATATTTTCATATGTATATATATATTTTTCTGGTATTGAATTATGAACACTTTACGGTTTATTTTTTTCGTTAATTTTTCAATTTTTCACTTGTTTTTTTTTTATTTTATTTTTCATTTTTTACTTAAAAATTTTATTTTAGTCAAAATTTTGTATATTTTTATTTTTTTTCATAAAAAAAATTCGAAAGATTTTTTCATTGTTTTTATGTTGTTTTTCTTTTTTCCTAACATTTGCGCAGCCTAAACGCTCTCTTTTTCTCTCTTGAGCCACACAAAATAGGAAAAAAAAATGATATTTAACATAAAATTACAAATTATTACAAAAACAACATTTAAGAAAAGCTAATCGTATTATTTAGGTCACATCACATCTTAATGGCACAGGGTAAGAGAAATAAAATAAAATCTTTATTGGAAATTTTCTTTTTTTATTTTGTTTTTGTTTAATTAAGAAATTTTTTGTTTTATTTCAAATTTTTAATTTAATTTTTGAAATTAACTATTGTGTATTGTGATATCACTAATTTTCAACTTTTACTTATCATTTTTATTGAAATTTTTCATAATTTTCCTCTTGTGTTATCGTAAAATTGCTCTTTTCTTCTTAAATATTTAAGTGTTACGCCTGTAGATTTATTTTTTTTTTTTGTTTTTAATAATTTCACTTATTATATCACAAATAAAACAGGAAAATTATTGCGCAGCATACAAATTATCGCTTTTGTTATTATTTTCATAAATAAATTGTTTGATGGGATTTGCGTTTGTTTTTTTTATAAACTGTATTTATTCTTCTGTTTTTGTCACAAGATTTTATTTTCAGGCGCAAATCACCAATAAAATAAATTCAATATGGAAATTACATTGTTATATTCAAAAATATTAACATGAATTTTTGTGTGATGTAAGAAAATATAAAATAAAAAATAATGATACAGAAAAAATTTAACAATTATAATAAAACTATATAAAAAAATTAAAGAAAAACAATGAAATAACAACAATATTAAAAATTAAAGAGATCTATCCCCCAGTATATACACACATCTTAACATATACTCCTATTTACACACTTTACACATATTTGTTTATGTATATATATGTATATATACATATATTGCCTATTGTGTAGGGAAGGACACTCCCAAACCGTTCAGTTTCACTTTTCCTTCTTTATCGAGATGAAGAAAAATAATGAAAAATCCAAAAAAAAAAAAAAAAATTATACAAAAAGTTCAATAACTGTAAAGCATAACTTCAATTTTCATATATGTATATGTAAATGTATGTTGATACGTTTATGTGTGTACGCATGTAAATTTCAATTGTATTCGTTCAATATCCATACACATACACGTATATGCTTTTGTAACCGTATTTTGTTTCAATATTGTTATTATGTATGTATGTATGTAAATTCATGTTTCGTATCCAGGATATCCTTGAATTTTAAATCAAAAAAAAAAATGAAACTTTAATAACGATACATAAATGAAAAAGAAAAAATCATAACAATTTTCAACAAAAGACAGATAAATCATGCATATTGTACTCTTTATCATACGTACATTTATAATTTATTTCAATATATTCATATATGTATAACATTTAAAAAAATATTCAAAAAAAAAAAAATAATCCGAAAGGAATTCTTTGTCCTCCAAACGGAACCGGTTCGTTCGTTTCTTTTCTCTTTTCAAATCGTCTTTTCTTTTTTAAATTAAAATTCGGCTAAATTTTTCTTTTCTTCCGTATTTTTTTCTATTTCCATATTCTTTCATCTTATTTTATAATATTAATCCTTTCTTCAAACTCCAAATTAAAAAAAAAATAAGCAAAATTTCAATTTAATCCTTCGTTTAATTCAATTTTTCTTGTATTTTACTTCCAACCAAAAAAAAAAAATATAAAATGTTCATTTCACATTTAAAAACTCACAGCTTTTTCTTACACTTTTCATTATTAAAAATGATGTAGAGAAAAATAACAAAAAAAATAAAATTTATCTCAAAGGCGAAAATTAAATTTTCACAAATAACTAGTTAAAAAAAAAGGATGCTTTATACATAATTTTTTATTTTTCGTTCCACGAAGCAAAATAGAATAAGAAAAAATTTATTTCTATTTTTTAATTATTGTTTTGTTGTTTCCTTTTCTTTTTTTTTGTTATTTGCTGCTTTTGATTTTATTTTTTTTTTTCACTAATTAATTTCATATGCAGAGAAAGGAAAAAAAAACTAAAATGCCAACAACAAAATTGCGCTACGCTATATCCTTTCCGATCGACCAACACTAACGGAATGATGATGAGAGATACAAAGTTTATGTTCTCTCTCTCTCTATGTACGAGTACGATATAAAAAGACAAAAAAAAATAAATAAAAAGTTTTCAGTGTTTTGTTTTTCACTTTTTTTTGTTTTCTCGTAAAATGATTTGTTTTTGTTTTTTAGATATTTGTGCAAAATACTCTAAAAAAAATAGAGCAAAAATTACGGCGAATTTTCATTATCAAAAAACTGAATTGACGTAAAAATGTAATTTTAGTGGTTACCAGTTGTGCGGCGAATTTCTATTCAATTTTTTCTTTTTCAAAAATTTTTGTTATTATTTATTTTAGGTCTCTTGTTATCATTTTATTTAATAATTATCGCAAAGCTTTAATAATTTCAATTTGTTTTGCATGATTGTGTGTGTGTGTGGTAATTGTGAGTATTAAAAATTGTAAATTATATTGTTGTAATACCAAGACCTAAAAAAAAATATTTCTCACAAAAAATACGAAAACATTACAACAAAAAAAGAAATGTTGATTTGCGCAAATAATAATTGCCAAAAATTTTTTTTTTAAAAAAAGAAAAAGCTTTAAAATCAACACTTTTAGTTTTGAAATTCTTAAACATTGTTTACACAAAAGCCCACCAGGTGAATTTTAGAACACGTACAGAGAAGATGAAAGTTTATTTTTTATGTTTTTGTTTTTTTATTTTGTGTATTTTGGTTTAGACATTTTTGTGTTGTTTTTACAAATGGGAATGTTATGTTGAGTGTTTTAAAGCACATACGTGCCGAGCTATGTAAAGAGAGATACGCTTATACTTACATACATTTGTATAGAGACGTAATAGTTTTCAATGTGCACATGTAGTTGTATACAAATTGTTAGTAGTAAAAGCTTATTTTACACTTCCATGCTTTAATTGAACTCTTAGAAAAAAAAAGTAAATACATAATATGAGAACAAAAGTGAATTACTTATACATTTTAAATTTTATAATTGAATGTTTTGTTTTTGTGCAGAGTTTAAAGATTTACATACAAAGGTACATAAATAATATGTATGTAATTTGTAATTGACACCTTCTACAGAAAATTTTGTTTTGTGTTATGCCTACAATACATAATTACAAACTTGTTGTACACGAAAGGAGCTAACGGAAAAGACTTCTAATAGAGTTTTCTTAGTACCAAGGCCTAAACGTTTATTGGATTCAAGAACACGGGTTGATAAAGAGCGTTACTGATTTAATTCGAAAAATTTTATTATTCTAGGGGTAGGCACTGAGTTATGAGCACGGAGAGTTGTCAGTTGAAGTATATACGCCTTGGAATAATTTAATATTTTTAATAGACTGGTGGATGTGGTCTATTCGAGAGGACCGAAAAAAAACCTACACCCTGTCAAAAATAAAACGAAGTAGAATAAACACTTTGAAAATAACGACAGCAATATTACGCAAAGAATGGACCTGACAAAAGCATAATAACATAGTAAGAACCTTATGTATCCCAAATCTAATATCTAATAACAGAACTAATATCTCAGTAATTGATGCGTCAATAAAAACAAATATGCAAAAAAATAAACACTTATGTGGGTGTGTAAAAGTAGCCCCGAATAAGTATCGGGGCACTTGATGAATATTTCGAACGTATTAAATTGTTGTATTTTTTTATATACGAGTGTTGGTAACATTGTTTAAGAGTGAAAGCCTTCGTTTACACAATGCATTTGGTCAACTTTTTTTCTTAGAAGAGACGCATGCGACGAAAGAGAATAAAATGTAAAACTAATACAATGTGTAAACGCAGGTAACATAATATTTTCGTGCAGAAAGTGAATATTTGAAGCTTTGCTGCGCATTTTTTTTATTGTTGTGATGTAAAGAGAGAAAAATATTAAAATAAAATAAGGAAAAAAAAAAAACTTTTTGTATTTTAATACAAAAAGGATGTTGATACACGAGAGAAGATTTTTTGTTATTTTTTTTTATTATTTTTATCATATTTTTTGGTAACTACTATTATCTTCAAGCGGATGAATGGCGGCACTACAGAAACAAATTGCCTTTGATATTTTGTTTTCTTTTTCCGGTAGTAACAATTCACGTATAAACACAAAAAGGGCACATAAAAATCACTACTCGATTTTGATTTTTTTATCGAAGGGGAAATTTTGAAAGTATATCAGTTTCTTTTTGTTTTTATTTTTATAGTACTACGAAAAACAAAAAACAAAACTTTTTTGATCTCCGATGCATAAACGTGATGGTTTATGGCATACGTAGATTCTTGTTATTATTTCTTGAGAGATTTTGTTTTTATATTCAAGATTAATGTGATTGCCACAATGTTTAAACAAAAAATTGTTGAAAAGCAAACATAACTCATTAGTGTATGTGTATGTGAATACGCATAAGTATTTGAGAAAGAAAAGTGAATAACATTTTTAATGAAATGGGAGAAACGTGAAGGTTAAGTATCGCTATTCGAAAGAGAGTTATAATATTGAATTTTATTTAAATTTGCTGTTGTCATATTTTTATATATTAGATTCAATGCACGGCTATAGAGCGGTGATTGGCTTGAGACCACAATCTCTCATATGCATTCTTCCCGCTTATGCATTTCTTCGGGAATGACATGATTAAAAGCTACACCGTTAAAAAAAAACCTTGATATTAGCATAGCTGGGCGAATTAGTCATGTCATCAAAAAGGGGTTCACTGAAGTGCTCGGGTAAGATCTCCGTTTAAAGCAAAAGAAAATTTAACATTTATTTAGGCCAGTTTAGAAATCGTCTTAGTGTTTAAAAAACAAGTTCAATTGGAATTTCAATTTTGTTAAATTTAAAATATATAAAGTATAAAGCGGGTATAAAGTATTTTAATACGTACAGCACTAATTTATCACTTCAATGTTTATCTATTCTTCAATATAAATAGTATCATATATAACTTAAGTTTAAGTGTTTGACTTTTTTACAAAATTTGAAATTAATCTTTCACAATTAAAAAAAAGTAACTTTAACTTTAAAAAACCAACTTCAAAATAATTGTGAATATACCGAACAGTGTTGTCGTTTTGAAGCAGTCTGTCTTAAAACAGTAAAAGTGTCTTAAAACAAAATTGCACAATTTTACCATGCTATTACAATTGAGTATTTTTTCGAAGACGCAAACCTTTAGTACATTAAAAAAAAGGAAAGCTCCTCAATTTAAAAAAAGAAGCTTTTTAAATTAAAAGCTTTTTATTTTATCTGTTTATTACATCTGTTCTGATTTAAATCCTTATGTTTTCAGGACATATCAAGGACCTAATTAATAGAACAATATAAAATTTATTAAATGGTTAACATTGCAAAATTGATTTTTGATTTGTTGCATTACCAAATTAGCAGAGTTTTTGCTTCTACTAAGAATTAAAAATCTTGCAATTGTATAACAAATAATTTAATTTTGAGGCAATAATTAAAAGAAGTTCCTCGAAATTAAGTTTGATCAAAAAAACCACAACTTTATGAGAAACAATTCCAGTATTAAATTATTGAATTTTCTTAATATCTTTAAATTACCATTTGTTATTTAGCTTTAATTAAGAACAACATTTTGTTGACAAACGTTCAAAACAATAATGTAATACCTTTAGAACATTACTACAAATTTGCTAATGACACACAATATAAAAATAAATCTGATAATTTTTCTCACTTTTTACATAAAAAATATCTTAATAAGTTGTTTTAAGTTTTGTAACACACAAAATACCAATAAATTTCAATTAGGTGTCTATAAATATTTTTATCTTCAATGTATACCAGATGCTCTGCATTCAACAGCATATTATAATTGTAATAGAAATAACTGTACATATATCTTATATACATACAAATTCATACATAGACTAAGCAACGTAGTTTAATTTTAAGAAGTTGTAAGATAATACTCCGAAAATATATGTATGTATAACATTGTGTTGAACAATAGGGAGAAAAGTGTAAGGAGATTTTGTTTGTCTGCCAATAAAAGAACGATATTTTTTTTTATATTTTGTTTTTGCGTTTCTTTAAGCAAAAACTTTTATTCCCACTCCGAAGAAATCACGCTTTCCTACCAAAAATTAATGCCTGTTTTTTATATTTTACCAAGTATACTATATGTTTG